TTCAAACGGTATGGCCATATCTGCTGAATAATCTGCTAGTACATTGTATATTTCCAACAAACAATATGCGTCTAGTGCTGTCACATAATAAACACACATACACACACATATATATGTGTAGTAATGGAGAAGATCATATATTAATCAAATTAAATAGAAGATATAAAAACGATTACTAACCAGCGTATATTATTTGACTTTCCCTCAATGGTCTCAGTTCCCAATTTGAAAACTGATCAGACTTATCGAGTCTTTGTCCGAAACATAATTCCACAAGTTTACTTAAACTTCTGTTTGTGAAATTTGGATCACCTTTGTATGGGAAAACAAAATTGTATTCTTCTACTAATTTTCTCCATAAAAGCATCAAATCAAGATATCCTTGGCCGTGTGTTTTAATGGACGATAGGGCAGGTAAACTATTACGTATTACAGTCATGTCTTGTGCTATTCCAAAGCCTATATGAAAAATTATTATATTATTATTAATATACAATTTCAATATCTCTCACATTTGTATTATTGAATATGTCATTTGTATCATAAAATTAATTCTATTTCCAAAATAAATGTAAAATATAACACATATATACATTGTATCAAAATATGTATTAAAATAATACAGACAATATACTATTTTAGATAATTGAAAACACATACCAATCTTGATAATATCTTTATTTCCAAATAATACAAGACCAAGTTCATTCCAGAGTTCAAGTAATTTATCGCCAATAGTAGTTATATCCAGAATGTAGACGTTATCCTCAGTAGCTACTTGCATAAGTGCTAGTTCAGGTTGTTTAGTTCCTGATAAAATATATGCATTTTACTTTAATTAAATTAAAATTATATATTATTATTCTGTATCTTATTCATATGTTCAGGTTTTGATTATAATTACCAAAGCTAGGTTTCCACTCTAAATCAATTCCAACTATATTAACATCCCTCAAGCCATTATCAAGGAATTCTTCGAATAATCGTCCATCATCTACTAATTTGATGTTTTCTCTCGGTAATTTTAAAATATGATAATTTACATTATCCTCACTTGGTTCCCAGGTTTTATCTCTACTTGTCGAAGCGCCCTCATTTACCACTGCAAACTATAATATTATAGACATTTTTCAAAATGCAAATATAAAAATATAGGTAAAAGCATTACATGGTGCATTCTGTTCTTCTATATGTACAATAGCCCATGGCCATTCATCTTTAGGTATTTCGTACTCCTTTGCCCAATATAATCCTTCTTGTGCATCATTAGCGTTAATTAACATACTTAGCAACTCTGTTTGTAATTTGGCATCGTTTCCTACTGCTTCTCTTACCATTTCTCTCCAACTGGCAATATCTACATAACAAAAACAATTAAATAAAAAAATTTTTATTTTTATGTGAGAATAATCTTTCTAAGGCTGCGGTGAAAGTCTCACTACAAATGTTTCGAAGCGTTTGGTTGACCAATTAGAAAAAAGAATTTTATAAATTGACGAATCAAAAATTGCTTTAAAGCATTTGTAGCATCGTTGACCGTACCCTATAAATCGTAATATAGAAAAAGTTATTTATCATAATATAGATAATTACTTAAACTATTATCCACATAGCGTTTATGTATAAGAAATTGCAATGCTCCTTCGTTCCGTTTTGTATTTAAATGAGGGCATACATCGGGTGATAAATTATATTGCTTTATTAAACGTGCAATGAGCTTCGTTATTGGGCGAATTTGTGTCAATGATATCTTAACTTCTGGTATATCATTTGTACTGAAAAAATTTGCCTCAGTAAAAATCTCCATTATATAACAATTGTTAGATTTGGGTGTTTAATAAAAATTAATATATTACTTACTAAACAAATTGTTCCAATATAATCTGTACGTTTTTTCCCGGTGCTATTAAATTGTCTAAATAAGTTGTTAAGGATTTTTGAACCTCTGGACAACCTGTTAAAAATTTGTCAACTATTTGTAATTTATTTTGTAGTATAAGAGGTAGTAATAATATTTGTGGATCCATAAAATGACTTTGCAATTGTAGCATTGCTATATATTGTGCAGCTTCTTTATATTCTTTTTCTTGTATTATATCCTGAAAAAGTATATGTATGTATGTATGTGGGTGTATATATATATATATATATGCACACACACGCATGTATGTGTATATATATATATATATAAGTAAGTGGCTGTTTGAAATAGAAATTGTGTTTGTGTGTGTGTGTGTGTGTATATATATATATATATATATATACACATATAGTTGTGTACATAAATACAAAACAGATAGTTATATTTCTAGCAACACACCTTTATCGTATGTAGGAATATATCTTTGTGTTCCACAAAATCATATATAACAGATATCTTCTCCATTAACACCATCTGTTTCATATGTTTTTGTCTTACTAATTTAAATGCTGCTAGTTTCAAATCAGGAACAAGAAATTCCTTGTATCCTTCTTTTCTTTCTTCTATCCAATTTGAAAACTCTTCTATCACTGAAATACAATCGAAATTACAAGAAGCCTATGATTTTCAAGAGATTAGAATTGAAGTCTATCACACACGATATATCTTTCTCTCTCAAAATATTGTCTAACAATTATAGGAAATTACTTGTATAAATTATGTACATTGAGAAACATGTTATCTTAATTTTTATATGTAGAAACAAAAATGGAAACTAATTTTGATTAGTTTATATGCATTTTTTTTCATGTAATCATCAAAGTCGTTGGAGATGTATGTTCTTAACATGAATTATTACATAGTATTTCTTCTATGTTAGCCAAGTTAATAAATTACAAAAATTATAACTGTTAAATATCATATATTGCAAACATATTTTATATAAAAAGTATAAAAAATAAACCTGCAAATGCAAGCGACTTGCTGTTTGTCATGTGATCAAAATCCGAAACGTTGACCATAATTCTTAATGTGCTAAGATATGGATTTGGAGCCGTCTCGAAGTAATCCGTCAATGTTTTGCTGACACCATCGCATTTTTTCCCTACGATTGATACGATTGCACATTTAATGTACGCGATCGAGTGATAAAATATATATAGAAGATAAAATTAAATGCTTACACAGCGTCCACATCCGATGCAGAGTATCAAGCCATATCTTCGTGGCTTCATCGATAGAAGAGAAGAACAACAGATCCATATCAGTCTTCTGACGTCGGCTCATCACTTGGAAATTCTTGACGATTTTGAATTTCGTCCGTCGTTGACTAATATGTCGGCTGTCGAGAATATAGCAAATTCGGATATTCTCGCCTTGGGAACACTCCAAAAGTCGACAATAGAGAATATCATGGAAGAACACGGATAATCGTAATATAAGAAACAAGAGAATAACAAAGAGATGATACTCATTTGACCCTACGTCGCAATATCGACGAGAAAAAACGTTCGCCGAACCTCTTTACCCACCCATGTTCGTACTCTATCGTATCGTATCGTAACGTAGTACATACAGTATCGTACCCTCTGAAGTTTGCGCCACTTTACGCTAGTGTTGTTCTCAAAGGCCTAGTGCCCTAATTTACATCGATCTCATTTGATACTCGTACCAACTAGTAACTTTCTTAAGCCGACGACACATGATGCTTGTTTTCCCGCTATTAAGATTAGGGCTTAATATTAATTTGTTGTACGTATGTACGACAAAGATCACTATTCCACCCACGAGGGTATATTGCTGGGTTCACCCTGTATCCGATTTTCGTCGTACGACGCCCTGCAACCAATCAGAAAACAGAATTCCGATGATACGAAGCAAAATCCATCGGAATCCTGTTTTCTGATTGGTTGCAGAGCGTCGCACGACGCAAATCGGATGCAAGGTTAGGGAGCCTTTATGTTGGCTGTAAAGCTGGAAACACAATAGACACAGGCAACAGGGAATAACGAGCCGTCCAATCAGAGATTTGGAGTTTAAGTTCGATATTATATCCCAGAGCTCTGAGATTGGATGGCTCGTTATTAACTGTTGCCTATGCCTATTGCCTGTGTCTATTGTGTTTCCAGCTTATCTTGCAAGTCTATGATCTTGAGCAATGTCTATGGGTGCCTTCCGTTTCTCGCATAATGCATCGTTTATCCTTGTTGCTCACCAAATGTTAAACAAGGACAATGGATGCATCATGCACATCATACGCGATACGGAACGCACCTTATGTGTGGATTCCGTCCATGTGCGACAATATGACAGACGTACCCACGTACCGTTTATGGGCCTAAACACAAAGCGATCATAACATTCATAACTGAATTGTAGAACGTAAGTCGTAGTAGTTGTAGATTGACAAAACATTGTGCATTGACCTATGACTACATGGAGAGAAATCTGTTAAGAATATATTTCTTACATTTAATAACAACATCAGTAAATAAATCGGTTTCGTTGATATCCGCGATAAAGCTTCAATAATCTGTTACAGATCTATTGCACTCGAGGAAGTCCTGCAATACGAAGGAAAGCTATTCTTATTCAGATTCTAGACAGTCTAGCCAAGATTCTAACAAAGAAAAACGTTTTGAAAAAGAGAGGTCTGGTTGTCAATCGAATCAAAATGCGAACAGGCAAACCGACGAACCATCGACAAGCCGTGAAACAATGATTGATCGTGGTAATCTGCGATGCGGTTTAAACGTGTCAAACAAAAAGCCTGCAAGTTTAATCTTCCGCGAAATACGCCCAATGTGAATGCCGGCTTTCAGAATGGCGTATTCTAGTAAATTACTGGAATACGCAGGTTATGGCTCCTGCACACTGGACGCGGAAACGCTTGTCGCGTGGCAAAATGAGACGCGGTAACCAATGAACGCATTAGGAGCTGTAAGCTTATTGGCTACCGCCGCATCACATTTTGCCGCGCGGCAAGCGTTTCCCCGTCCAGTGTGCAGAAGCCATTACGCTTAGGCAGGTTACGCCGCATGTGACGGCACCCTTAGAACTCCGTTAACGGCGCTAACTCGCTGAGATTGCTGAGAACTCGACTGAACTATTTATATTCATATAATATAGGAATGTTACTTACATGTCTGATCCTCTGTGCAAAGTAATCTGGGTAATATAATTTAGTTCAGTATACAGAATCATAAAATTGGATTAAAAATATATCAATTGACGTGTTTTTTTTTTCGTGAAATGAATGAATCTGGCAGAAAAGTGTCGCTCTGCCCCGTGAACCTAGATATTAATCGTTAAAATTGACGACTTTTCAGGTTAGGAAATCTATCACAGCCATGAAAAAGGCCTTCCTCTGTTCTTGCTATATGTGAAAAGTTGTAAACTTTTGTGGAATCATTCATGGGTTTTCAACCTGGCATACAAAGCGAGATTTAATAAAAAAAAAAAAAATAGTCTTTGATTTTACGGAAACTGTAGCGGGAGCGGAGCGGGAACCTTTCGCTGTCCTTGACCTCGACACGTACATGGGCTTGTACTTCGCGAATTGTGATTGGCGATTGCCGAGAATTCCGTTCTTCTCGCCCTCCCCTTCCCCCAGCTCCTCTAGCCCGCGGCGTGAGGAGAGAGAAGGAATTCTCCGCTATCAGAGCCATCTCAGCCATCAGAGAAGGGTCCAGAAGGTCTCGTCTTCTTTTTCATAGCCGCAATTTTCCTAACCTGAATAGTCGTCAACTTTAACGATTAATATCTCTGTTCAGAGCGGGGCAGAGCGACACTTGTTTCTGTCAGATTCTTTCGTTTCATGCAAAACTGCATCGATTGAGCCGAATTTCATCAAAATTGAAGAGTGGGTAGGAGTATTCTAAATAATTATCGAATTTATGTCTGTTCATTACCAGATAATGGGTGCTCTCCAGCAAGGACACAGTCGGACACAGTGTAACACAATGAATCATTACATCCTTGTTATTTGCCTACGTTAAACAAGGATGAAACGATTCACTGTTTTCACGTGTTACACAGTGTCTGACTGTGTCCTTGCTAGAAAGCATTCAGTTGATGAATATAATGTGTATTAATTTTTAATTCTAAAATGTTGAAAGAAATAAACAAAATTTAATTATTAAGATTATTAATCATTGTGACAATCTCGAATTAACTGTGAGCACACGTAATTAAAGCAACAGTCACATCTCGTGACTATAGTAATGGAAACTACAAAAATGTTAAATTGTTTTATTTTTTAATAAAATTTTGTAAAATTATGTATACTTGGAAAAATTTAAATTTTATTGTATATGATGGCATCTAATGATGTTTGAATTCAAATGAATTTGAATAATTCAAATGAAATTGAAAAAGGAAATTAAATTGTATAATCAACGGAACTATGAAACACTGTTGTTGTAATGCGTAATACGGACAAAATTATGCTGCTCTGATAGAAATTATTTAGCGGTTATTATATTTATATCTTTACATTTTATTAATTTAATATTAAAAAACTTAAACACACAGAAGTGGTAAATGTTTATAAACAAAACTATCTATAAGATAAATTTTTTTTTGAAAATGATTTATTTTTTCCTTTTATACAAAACTTTTAATCTACGTACATTTTATAACCAAATTAATCCAGAATGAATCACACCATTTTCAGGTTAGCAGTTAATAGTTATCACTATATTCTTTTTTAAAAATGGCTACTACTGGCGATGAGAGAGACACAATAATAGATCAAACTTTGTCAGAGAAATTGTTACAGAAAGGACAAAAGTCACCATTTCTTATTGCAAGTATGTGAGCTTTTTTAAACATATACCTAAAATATAAATATTTATCATTAATATCTAATGCATGTATTGCTTTTTAAATAGGTTTAATAAGTTTAGCAGGTATCTGTGGCTATGGTGTTTATGCGTTTAAGAAGAAAAAGATATCTACACAGTTATATTTACTACAACTCCGAGTTGCTGCCCAAGGAACAGCAATAGCTTTTCTGACAATAGGAATGGGATATCACATGATAAGGAAGTATGTCTTGCACGATGAAAAAGAACCATGATGCTTAATGCTAAATTAATAGCTTAATTGTTTAATAAAATAGGAATTAGAGAAATGTAAAAAGTATATTGTCATTATTTATTTAAAAATCGTAATATATGTAATTATTTTATTACATGCTTTTTCCGACTTTAATTATATTTCTAATAACATTATTGATTTTATTCTTATTAGCTAATAGTAGTAAAATATGTATATTAATGTTTATTAGTGACCATCAGTTACCGCAATATACTGGATGTACATATATCCAATAGATATTTATAATCTTTAATAACACTCTGTTCTCGACAAAATTTGACCTCTTTTACTAATTGTCACACCCCTGATGGAAATTTTTACCTAAATTGTAATGAATAATGATGAAATATTACTGAATTTCGTATTGAAATCTATATTAATCTATATATTCACTTTCAGCATTATTTTATTCGGTTTTTCACACTTGGTTAATGTACGAAATATTTGGTATAGGCATATCAATTATATGACAACATGTAGATAGTATGTTTACATACATTTGATATTTAATATACGTACTTAATATTTATTTATTTCATTTCTTTCTAAAAATTATTTTTAGCCTTTGTTCAAGAAATATCATTCAAATACAAAGTAGTGTATCGATATCGGAATTTTCTAATAATTCTAAAATTAATTACCGATTTAATTGATGTCGCAGTTGAGGTGATTTAAAGGATACTGGTACCGCAGCCGATCCCCCCCATCAAAGTTATCAAGGTGTATTGTGCTTAATATAGGGAGCTGCAACGGACTCGCGTGATCGACGCCAGTGTGCGCGTGTGTGCGCGTGTGCGCGCACTCGCTGTACAGTACTTGCTGCTACTTGGCGCGCGCGTTGCAGCGTTCCGACTGTTCCGACTGTTCCGAGGGTTCCGAGGGTTCCGAGCGATAGTCTGACACGAGTGTTGCGTGGTACGCGGCTGTCGCATATATACTCATCTCGTATAGAGCGCACCGAGCGTCGTATATATATATATATATATACGTACGCGACCTATTCGGAGTGATCGGCACGGCGATCGATCGTTGGACCGTTGGACCGTTCGACCGTTCACGTCCCGTCAGCCCCGTGTATCGAGTCATTCGAGTCTCGAGTTAGTCGAGTGTCGAGGCTCGAGAGCGAGCCGGAGGATCAGTGGCCGTGCTCTGTCGACGCTACACGATCGCGTTGATCGATCTCCCCGGCCCGGCCCGGCCCGGCCCGGCGACGGTCAGTCGGCTGACTCGGCTCCGATTTACTCGCAGCCAAGTTAACTCATTGTCAGTACCGACCGCGACGAAATCGAGAGTCGCGCGAGCAACGAACGGCGCGCTCACGTTGACGGTTACGTCGCGCGATTTAAATCAATTTAAATTAAATCGCGAGCTGAGATCTTGGAATTGTTCGATTGTGCTCGCAGATCGGTCGGCACGCGCCTGTGACTGGAGCGTACGATGCTTGCTCCGTGCGACCTATCATCCAGTGCTTTCTATACATACATATATATATATAGTATGGAATCTAGTTCGATGATGATCGACGTTTGATCGGGCATTACAGCAGCATTATATGATGCGACGGCGGCTACAATGAACGTTCCGATCGTGGCAGGGGACGTCGTCGACGATGGCGGCTTCGATCGGCCGCGATTCGTTCGGGTAAGTTGATATCACTGGCCGGATTCCTATTGAATTTCACGGTCCCGCGACTTCAAATTAGCAAACTTATCGTGCTCGAAGGACGTCTATTGAGGATGAGTATTGAATTTTGCTTTTATAGCGCGAGTTACAACACGCCGTGGATCCATCGCCGTTGTGTCGCCGTTGAGATTCGCCAAATATATTATATTCTCGGGATTCCAATCATCGCGACGATCTCGATCCGATATATACGAGTATGTTTTCATCGATCCGATCCGCCGCGCCGGAAACGATCGTTCTGTCAAAGGCCCGTGGTACTTTCACTTTCGCTTCTATCTGGCGATGTTCAGGACCGCGTTTACCGCTAAAACACTGCCGCCTCTTATTGCTCAACTATCATATTTAATAAAATGCTCGTATAGTAAAATGCCCTTGATTAAAACAAATGCGAAAAGGAGACAATTTAATCTTGCGAGAGAACTCAACTTGCGACAACTCTCGCGTATAATCAATGTAAAATGAATATCGGACACGAGCTGACGGAATTATGAAATTTACAAAGCAAGTTTAACAAGTTAAAAAATTGATTCACAGCGTCACACGCTCATGCATAATTGAGTATCCTTCAGATCAGACGCAGGTGTGATATTATTGTACAAACGTATAACGTATTAACTATACATATGTTGCATGCATATGTTAAAATTTCATCGCGACGGACAATCGAATGGAAATTTCATTATATCGTATATATGTGTATAGAACCGGTTACAGCAACGCATTCCATACGATATGCTATAAATTTGAGAGAGATTGGCTGGCAATAAAACAAGTCACAATGCTTTTCATTGAGATGTATTTTAGTCTAGAATGTATCTCTATCCGAGAATTTTTTTTTATTCTCGGTCACAGAGTCTCACCGTTATCTGTTAATTAATTTGTTATTTTAGTATTATAGAATAATACTTATAATAGAATAATTTATTTACTTTAATTCACATGCCGAGAAAGGATTTGGTTTACAATTTTTACTCCACACACACACACACACACTTCCATTCATCCCCTATAATTACTTGACTAATTATAACAAATCTTTAGATTAGTATGACAAAAAAAAAAGTATAGAATTGAACTGAAAAATTATATAACTTTGTAATTATTTCATTAATTTGAAGATTTTTTTTTGAATGCTATAAATCTTATATTTTAAATATATGCAAATTAATCAGATAATGTAATCAATTTTAATTAAATATGAAAAAAATTCTTAATCTATATTCTTTATCACGTTTGCCGATTGCGCTACGATATGATGTCATTTATGACAGTGTGAGAGAAAATTGTGATATAAATAATCATAAACAGTATTCTGTTAAAGAATAATAGAGAATAAACATTTATAATGAGATCACTTGTTCTCGATAAACTAAAGAAGAGAGGAATTAATTTAATCTTAGAAATTAAAGTGGTGTATACAATATAAGAGATCTAAAAAATTCCGTGTCACTTTGTACGTTCAAGTACAAGCCGTGTTTTTACTTATGTTTAAAAATTATTTCAGATATTAGTCGTTTGTTTAAAAAGCTTTCTTTATTTGGAATTTTATATTATCCCAATCAAAATTGTATGCAAATTCCAGTCTACGCTCAGTAATTACAGAGTGTTTCAATTAATATATGGTTCGTTTTCCAATTAATATGCTTCTTACGCTCCTCTCAATTCTTGTCTTTAACATTCTGCTTGACTCACGTATAAGGTGCATCGCAATCCTTGCAATTAATTCTGTAAACAACATACGTGGCAAAACTGAGAGTTTATCCTTGAGTACTTTGATAAACTTACATAGCTTGTTAAATCTCGTATATGTTATTCGTACACTGTCTTTGTAGAAGAATTTGTTCTGAAATCTTTCTATTGTTTATTAATTAGTTTTTTATTTTACTAAAATTTCATTGAAACGAAAATTTTAAATGAAACCTACACGTATTTTTTTACAATTGAACAAAGACTAAAATTCCATATCCACAACAAACATATTACACATAATTTACAAGTGAAAGATAAATATTTCACTATTCCTTACGTCAAGTCTATCTCAGAGAGCTTTCTTCCGATTTCTAGCATGTTCCATTGTAAATTAGCTTTTACCATTCCTAACACTTTAAAAGGTCTTATTAGGAGAGAAAAAGATAAGTTGGAATTTTTATCCAACCAAAATGTTGTATATAAGATCTCATGTGATGACTGTGAAGCGAGTTATGTTAATCAGACAAAGAGAAAATTAAGTACGAGGTTACATGAACATAAATCTGACATTAGGAAGAATACAAGTTCTCCCACTATCGCATAACTGATCATCGCGTCAATTTTGACCACAACTTTAGATGGAACGATGTGAGAATTTTAGATTGCGAATCTTCGTATAATATAAGAGATTGGTGTCTGAAATGATTCACATCAAAAGACAAAAACAGGGTCTAAATAAAATGAATGATACGGAATCATTACCCGAGTCTTATTCGCAAATTATACAATCTCTTTCTCCTTCTTAACTGCTTGCGTGTTAGGTTGCATTGCGTGTTTGACGATACACTGTCTCGATCACGAGATATTTTTGTGTTGAGAATGTTTTTACTCGCTCCTCCATAAGTGCAAGAGAATGAGTGTGATATTCAACCTTTTTGTTATAATCCATCGGATGTTATGTATACTTTACGCACGTGGTACCTATACTTGAGCCATATGCGTCGCGAGATATCGAGTGCAATCGCGCATTGAATCCTCGCGACGCGACGTTTTGTGTAGGAAGATTCCACAAAGATACGACGCACTATAACCATTATCATTATAGAAATAAGAGATAACAATACCTGCCACACATTCAAAATATAGCTGTAAACTTGTCTAGAGCTGGAGATACCAGCGTTACATACTCATTAACATTACATTTTGTCTAATTGCTTCACATATCGTAAAGTTACAACTTCAATTACAGTTGCACTTATTTATTAAAATAAGTATTCGACGAATGTTCGCTTGAAAATTTTGTCTGCAACTGAAGGTATTTAATTTTTACTGAATGCATACGTTAATGTGGACGTTATAGTTTGAAACTGTGGCTTTCTGTCCACAGAAATGGATACTGATTTACATTTTGAAACACACATTAAGAAAGTTAAATGTTACAAAATTTTATTTAACTTAATCAATTGGATTACCATTGCTCTTTCAATAGCTCTCTCTTTCTCTCTAATAGTGTACATACTTGTGATGCTTATGTTTACATACAGGTGCATGTTTTGCATCTATTAAAGTATATCGTACCTACATGCTTAATTTTTAGCGATAAACGAGCGATTCTTTTATTAGAATTTTTTATCTCGATAACGATGAGAAAATTTACCTTGGCG